TATGTCCTTTTTAGTATGTTCTTAGTATATACTTTGAAAGTATATTCTAGAAAGTATATGCTGAGCCCGTGCCTTAAAAGTATATTCCAAAAAGTATATACTGAGCACGTGCTATAACAGGACATTCTAAGAAGATACTAAAAGTTATATACCCAGCATGTACCTCATATTCTGAGAATGTTCTAAATACTTGCAGGTAAAAAATTAACACCAAATACATGTAAAAAAAAACGCTTATATACATATCTATATGAATTTTTCTCAGATATCTCTTTAAAAAACAAATTTTCAACTCCCTGTAGCAAAAAATTGAAGCCGTTGCGGACATTTGTTCATATAAACTTTTCTTCATAAAATGACCTGAGGAATCACACCCTACGATATTAGCATAACATTAAAAACACCCTGTATAAATTGTGAAAACAGGGAAGCCATTTTAAATTTTTAAAAAGTAATCCATGACCTGTTATCTTTGATCAGATAAAATTTTTATCAGAAACCAATTTTAGTCGAAATCTGCTGACTTTTAAAAATAAATGTTTTTTTAATTGCTTACCCTGTATATATCTGACCGGAAGTATAACCGGTTTTGAGCCAAGAGGAAGCCTTATCTGCATACACAATTTGAAGTTTTTCTCTTAAGCCATTTTTGAGCTATTGTGTCAACAGACAGACGGCAGACAACAGACGGCAGATAGTCGACGGAATGGGGAAAACATGTTTTTTGTAATCTAGGGACCCAAAAACGTGAATATTAAAATTTTCACGATTACAATACTTTCCTTTTATTAAGGGAAGTAAAAATAAAATAAGTATACTCATTCTCTTGAAAGCTCCTCTACTATATTTAATGTATCAGTGTCCTTAGTTTTTTTTGTATGTTGGCCACACTATACAGTGAGCATCATAAGTCTTACCCCCCCCTAACTAACTCGTTACTGGGGTCTTGTTAGGAAAATCGCCGAGACAGGTCGATTTTTGATTTATACAGTGTACATTTTTGCATTATTAGTTTACCCTTAATTTCATCCCTTACTGGAGGGTAGCAACCCTTTTGAAAAATTTAAGTGGCATGGGGTGGTGAGTGATAGCTCATTTGAAAAGGGGTTTTATTCTCTATTCAACCGTGCAACAAATTTTAAAATTTGCTTCATTACGTGTTGATTTATTAATGTTTAAAAATAACAAAATCTCACAAAATAGGAAAGCAACTGGACTAACAGTGACCTTCTAAAGGCAAAAAGTCTTACTTCACGTCTGAACCAAAACCGAAATCATGCAGGGCCGAATTTTAATTCTAAGGATGAGTGCGCTACGTTAATTTCCGTTATTCTGAAACAACAATTAGTCGAGAATTAATTTCAATTTTTTTTACACGGTTGAATAGAGAATAAAACCCTCTTTCAAATGAGCTATCACTCACCACCCCATGCCATTTAAATTTTTCGAAAGGGTTGCTCCCCTCCAGTAAGGGATAAAATTAACTATTTATACGAAAATGTACATTGTAGAAATCAAAAATCGACGTGTCTGAGCGATTTTCCTAACAAGACTCCAGTAACGAGTTAGATAGGGGGGGTAAGACTTATGGTGCTCACTGTATATCTTGCTCGTGCTATACCTCGAAAATATTTATTGAGATAGGTACTCTGCAACCCACTTTATGTGTATAAATAAAAACAATAAATAAAGCAACTATTTTCGGCGGTTATTAATTTACACTTATGAAAACTCATGTATTTGTAGAAAATTTAAACTCTGACCATAGTAGAGACTTCGGCAACTATCTTAAGTGATGTTTTTGATTACTTAGATCAGCGGTTCTCAAAGTGTACTCCATCCACGGAGTCCTAGGGCTCCACAAAGCCTCTGTGCGAGGTCCGCGAAAATACTAGTCATAAGAGGAAACTAAAAACTTTTAAAAGAAACGCAAGTAATTATAAGAGAACTACTTACACCATTCTGAGTGAAACTTTTGTCTTAAGTTATTAGAAAAACTCCATTAAAAGAGGTTTGGACTGATAATGGAAAAATCTTCCTTACTTTTAATGAAAAAATTAACATTATTAGATCACATCGTGATTTTGAAAGTGTTTATGGACAGCAACTATAGTATTTAATAACATGAACTAAAAAAGATGGGTTTTGAATTAGGATGCGTACCTGACTGCTGGCTTTGCCAGTTTTTTTTTTTTGGAAACATTTTCTTCCTTTTACATTTACTATAATATTGTGTGTATAATATTTTTTGAAATTTTCTTTTAATTATAATTTATTAATTACATATGGTTGTGATACAAATTACAGATTAGTTAATTCTTTGGAAATTCTATGTGTAAGTGATCATAATACAAGTTGGGATGATAATAAGAATATGGAACATTTTGAGTTATATCATCAAAACATAAACAGCTTGAATAAAAACATATATGAAATAAAAATACTACTTAAACAAATAAGTTGTGACTACGAATGGATAATTTTTACAGAATATTTTAAAATTTTGGATACTACTTTGTTTTAATTACTAGCTTACGAAATGGTATACAATGATTTCGAATTTAAGAAAAATGATAGGGCAGTTGTCTATTAAAAAAAAAAAAACATTGGATTATACTTATACAAATATTTTTATTGACTATTGTAAAGCTTTATAAAAATTTAGTTATAACTACTTTATATAGGTCTCCATCAACTAGTGAAGACATTTTTGTAGATGAACTCGGTCATTATTTAGAAGAAACAAAACAATTACTGGTTTTTTCACATCTTCGGATAGGTGATATAAACATAAAAATTAACTTAAAAAATAATACTGTAAATAACTACTTAAATTTATTAAGTGAATTTATTTTTAACAAAAATACTAGACTAATATCTGATGGCACAGATCATATTTTTATGAAAAGCAATGTTCCAAATTACCAATTTGAATGTATCTCAATAGTAGAGAAATAAAGCAATGTCAGAAACGTATACGTAAACGTATCTAATGACAGCTACGCATGCGCAATAGCTATTTTTTCCACGTATCTATTTAAGTCTTACGTAAACGTATTAGTTCTTACGAACGTATCAAGTCGAGTAAATGTTTCGGGAGCATCCAATCACACCCGATTTAATAAAACTAATGACATATTGTAACTTCATATTGTTCTGTTTTTTAAATTTCGAGCCATAATACGAAACGAGTTTCATATATAACATACACATCACATTTATGCCTAGAAAGTTCATTGAAAAAAATGAATTAGTAAAAATAACCGGACATTGATACTCGATCATTTGTTATAATAATATCGGGCATGCCAAGAGGTCTATCAAGTCTAATTATGTCGATTATTAAAATTGAATTTTCCATATAAAACATCTAAATCTTCATCATCATTTAAAGCCCTTAAATTCATAATTTACTCATAGACCGTCAGATAGTGACTGATTTAGGTGCCCCATTTTCGCATGCAAGCCTCGAAGAGGGTTGAAAAGACATCGATTTTGAGTAGAATTTATGAGCGGCCCCTGGGGATAACATATGGAAAATTCGATTTTCCTTAACAGAAATAAAAGGTGTTTTTTGGTCATTTTTCCACGCAAGTCATTTTCACTATATGACTAATTATTAGAACTAGGCTTCGGAAAACCAAAGGCTTTAATGTTGCAAGTGGCCAAAGGGTTGAAATAAGGGCGTAATCTTGTAAAGAAAAATCAATATTTTAACTGATTTTTCCACACAAGCCCGTCGAAAGTATGAATACATACATCGTCACTAGCCCGAAAAACATATTGGCTTGAATGGCGCGAATGGATAAGTGCATTTTGGAGTCGGAAAAATTACTGCAAATTTTTTTTGATTTTTGAGTTATTTTTTCATGCAAGCCTTTTTGACCATAAAATGTTATTAATGTGTTAGACGTAATAATAAAATTGGTATGAGTATCGGATGTGGACGAAACGAAGGCTTGAGTCGAAAAGTTGCAGGAAAATTGTATGGAAAATGCCACCATTTAGACTTGGAATATTCGATAATATTGATAATAATAAATAATAATTGATAATGTGGGCATTAAAGGTTATAAAAATGTCACAAATCAAATTAGTAACATTTCATTAGTTACTCGACTATGGTTTCATAAGTTATACTTTTATTATCAGAAATTGTACATATAATACATGTCACAAAATTGTTAACATAACTTCACACATGGTTTTTTGAACTGACCTTATTTAATATTGCACTGTAATATGTTAAAAGAACTGCTGTGTATTATTTGATATTCGTTTCCAGTAACCAATGGAAAACAATATACTACTTGTTATAATTATAGTATAATTTATATTGCATTATGTCATTGAGCAATGTAAAAAAAATAAAGGAACCAGTAAACTTTAATTAAGAAATTGAGGTATCATCTTGGATTTTATTTAAAAGTAAAGTGCATGTTTTAATATTTATAGTACCATTGAAGTTTGTCATGGTATTATATAATTAATGTCTAAAACAATCTCTAAAACAAGGGTCCCTTTTTTATGAAGCCTCTGAAATTGAAAAGTTCTGAAAAAATAAACGATTTTAGATAAACAACATCCGATATATTGGTACAATAGAAAAATAGACAAGATTTATCGCCGAAAACTAATATATATCGCTCATGACGACAAGATACACCCCAGAAAGATCTTGTTGTTAGCATTAATAATTATTAAATTAGTTTAAAGTTTATCCTGACAGAATGAACAGTGGTATCTGTTTTCTTTTCAAGAACATAAGTTTATTCATGTATTTATTAAAAGGCGTTTTTTTGAATCTAAAAACTCTAAAACGAATCTTCCAATAATTGTGATTTGAAAACTGATGATGTCACATTCCACATGAAAAAAAAAACTGATTCTACTCAGAACTCTGTATGACAAAAGTGTGCCGTTCAGTCGCTTCTATGAAAAATGAAGTGCTAGTAATTAATATTCAAAATCATAGCATTAGTCACAATTCTACCAACTTCAAATTTGTTTTATCTTTACCTTTACAAGTTTCCCTAATTATCTGTGGTTCAGGAATTCGGCTAGGTCCAGGAACACAAACTGATTGATCCAAGTTAACTAAGGTTTTAGTGGCTCCTTGTAATTCTGAAAGACATAAAGAGTTTACAAGTACCTGATTTAGAATCTCCACAACTGTAATATTTGCTATACATATGTAACGTACTATATTTGAAGACCATAAGTAAGAAACGAGCTAAGTGCCAAAAAATGAGATATTGAGATTTTGCTTTAAAAAGATGCTAAAGGCCACTAAATATAACATATTAAATGCGCTATGTGACAGATCGAATATTGACGTTACGGTTGACATATAAATTTGGTGTATCTGCTATTTACCGCCACTGTTAAATTAAAAACATGTCAAGGGCCATTTTATTTGTTCCTCAGTGTTTCTCCGAATAGTTGTTAGTCCATAACCCCTTTTTTGATTATTAACAGGCTGAAACTTCGTAAGTAGGTTTATTTCGACGATACGCCCAACTTTTCTATCAATCAGCGAAAATGCTTAAAAATGGTAGCTAAAAAGTCGCAAGATTTAAACATGTTGATTGGGCGATTAGTAATAAAATTTGTTCAAAAACACAATCAACATGTTTAAATCTTGTTACTTTTTAATCTATCATTTTCAAGTAGTTTCGCATACAGAAAAGTTGGGCATCTCGTCGAAATAAACCTACTCACGAAGTTTCAGCCTGTTATTATTCATTAAAGAAAAAGGGTTGGTGTACGTAAGATTTTGTTTTTTTATCACTATAAAAGTATTGGTGGCCATAATACCTTTTTTAAATGATCAAACACACAAAGATTTTTATATAAATATTCCTTAAGTGGCACTTAGAACTTTGTTAGTGATATGTGGTACTTAGCTTTTTTCAAAATTTCAATGTAAATTTTTTTGTTTTAGTGTTTATTAGAAATTATAGTTTTTTCTTGTATAAAATGTATCAGCGTAATTGTTTATATCCTTAAAATAAATGTTATTTTTAAATTATTAAAAATGTAGTCTTCTTTTGGCACTATTTCTTACCTAAGGTCTTCATTTATACTGCATACTAAATTAAAAGGAGAATGACAGAAAAATGTTTGCATGAAACGAGAAGTTTTTAAATTAATAAATTGGGATTTTGTAATACATAAAATTTAAATATTATTTTAAGGAAAACTACAATACTTTATAGTGCATACCATTCTTTCTTTTTGTTGCCTTCTTTCTTGTTTTACGTTTTCCTAACTCTGCGTTTTCTTCATCATTTTCTGAGGCGGAGCTATTATTATTATCATATTCAGGTTCGGTCAACTGTAGAAAATAAAAACTACGAATTTTTATCTAAGTTATGACCCATTTAATTAGATGTTAATTAATTTTATAAAGTGTTTGGCGATTTTATTAATGAGCTTTTGTATTTAAAATTTGGTATGTTCATTCCTAGGCATAATGTCGAGTTGCGAATAGAGCCAAATTTTGATATCTCGCTTTATTTTACAAAATCTTGAAAATAATACAATTTGAATTTAATATGTTTTAATTGAAAATTGAAAATCAGGAATCTATTTGTACCTCGACACTGTCTAGGAATTCAAATTCCAAATTTGGAACAAAAAAGAAAATACTTGATAAAGTAACTTAATTCTTATTACACCGATCATAACTGCTACAAAAATCAAATTTTCTAAAATGCAAAAATTAATTAATTTATTTTTAAAAATAGTTATTGTATTTGAAAGATTGAAACAAAGTGACCTACCTTCTAGATTAATATCTTGCAAACTTTTTCCAGCGTATTTGGAGGCATTTCCTGAGTCTACAGCTAATAGTATTCGACTAACTTTTGTCAACTCTACTGCAGATTCATGCAATCTATAATGCTCCCTATGAGTTCTTATATCATGTCCGAGATGTTTCGCTAGCCAATCCGATTCATTTTCCGTTAAGTTGAAGATCTGTGCTACTGTGGCCACATATTTTCTTAATTTAGTGCTTGTCAACAATTCTGGTCTCTTCAGTTCTGTTTCATTACAGAACTTATTAAGACAATCATAACCTCTTAAGCTTTGTAGTGACATATTTGTTCTAGCAAATACATAAATATTTTGCGGATTAATTTCAACTTGTGATCTTGACTTTATAAGTAGATCTATTACATCTTTCAGATATGTTGTCATCAGTATAGGTACTTTTGGATTCTTGTGACTTTTGCCTCGTACTTCAACTATAATTAAGCGCTCGGCCAACTTTGTTTCTAGTGGAGTTAGGGATTCTTTAGTTTCCTGTGTTGCTTGTTCTTTCCAATTTGGTCGACAAGCATATTGAGATAATGTCATCCGTGAAGCTTCTTCAGATCTTCTTTTATTGAACAATATTATTCTACATAAAATTGCTGCTGCTAATTTTGACCAACTTTGTTTTAAGTCAACATCGTTTTGTATATTGAATTTATATATTTCAATCAAAGCATCCAAATGTCGGTTTAGTTTTATAATATCTTCGGTAATGGGTAACATTTGGACACAGTTCATTTTCTTATCAACTAGTGTTCTTACAGCATTTGAAGAAATTCTGTTACTCCATTCAATATCCATTATATTGAGGAAATTTGTCATGTCTTTATCTGTATTTAAATCTCCCTTTCTCAAAGCTACACCTCGAGCTATCTTTGCACACTTACGAAGATGATGACCTAATTTTAGAGCCAATGAAGGAATTTTAAAAGAATGAACACTTTCGTAACTTGAAACGCATACATTTTTAACAGCTTGGATTAATGTTAAAAAATTTGTAGGTTTCATTGCCATATACAAGGTTGTTATGTCATTGTTAATTTCTTTAATTTTCAACAATAACCGAGCAAGTTGTCTCATTGATTGACGAATGTACTCATGTTGTTGACTGATGAATTTTTCAAACAATAGAGCCCCAAAACAGTTTATTAGTTAATCAGTTTTGCAAACATTAGAAATTTCATCTGATTTAAATAAACCTAATATGTACTTTTTGTAATCTAAAGAAGTATTTGTAACACTCCAAGAAGCTAATAAGGCAAAACTTTCACCTTGGATATCTCTTCTATTTTGACCACTCTCTCGACTTTTCTCTTTCAATGGGCAGTGAAATCTTACGTGTCTCCACATGCAATCTAACTGGAAGAATCCGAGGCAGTTGGGATAAGGACCGAAATTTTCATACTTTTTTATTCCATGAAATGAAGGTCTTCTACTTAAAATCAGTTCACCATCCTTCATTTTTAACACATTATAGTTGTAATAGTAATCCCCTGCTCTTAGCAAACAAAGGAATCCTTCTTTTCGTTCTTTAGATCCTTCTTTCATAGCCATTAATTTCGATACTTGTGTTTCATTTTTGTGGACAATTTGCATGTGTCTTGCTACTTTTCCAACTAGTTTGTCACAAAAATAACATGCGTGACGTTTATCATAAACACGCTTTCCAACTGCAGTTTTATGCACATTCCCAATAGAAGGCTTTACACATTTTTCGTGGCTGCTTTCAGCACTAGTGTTGGCAGATTCCGAATTTTCTTCTTGATTGCATATTGATAAATTTTTCTCAGTTAGTAAAAAAATTATACTATTGTTAAGTTGGTTATACTGAATTTTGTTAATGCTATTAATTAAAGTATTACCAATTTCTTTAGAATTCAACTTTTCTTGGGGAATACTCCCCTGAACTGGTGTCCTTATTGTATTGTGACCCTTCTGTTCTTTAAATGAAGCATTTAGATTACTGCTATTGTTCTTGCTAAATACCACAACTGAAGAAGAGGACAAAACACTAGTGTCTGTTGAAATATCGGTGGGAATAAAATCTGATCCTGAGGATTCTAAAATATTGTCAGCAGAATTATCTAAATGGAATTGGTTAAATTTTCGGTTCCCTGGCCTTAATTTGTAATTCTTTTGTAATAATATGTGCGGTTCATTTACTATGTCACACTTCTTGAATGTAATTGAATCTGTTACCTGCTTTGAAGAAATTTGGCCATTATCGGGTATATTTTCTTTCGCTTGTAAATTTATATCCATTAACTGATTTGATATGTGGTTTAAACTTGCACATGTGGGAGATTTGGCACTAAGATTAAAGGTTTCTTTTTCTGCGAGTATTGAAGAAAAATACTCATGACAATTGATTGCCGATATATTTGGATAATCTTTAATGGAGTCATGTTCGTTAAATTTTTTCATATTAATAATTTTTGAAACATCATATTTTAAAAAATCATCATCATAATATGAATCCATATTATTTTGTTTATAATTTAAGGTTTCCTCACATTCATTGTGTTGGAAACCATTTATCCTCGATTATGTCATTGTTTGAGTTTAATTTTATTTAAAATCTCTTTTTCCTGTAATAAAGCCAGCTCCATTTTAAATCTATTTTTCTTTAACATTTTAACACTGCATATAACATTTTCGTATGCAATTTTATCTGAAGAGCCTAATAAGTAAATTGTGCCATTTTCTGTTAATCCATACCGTTCTAACCATTGAATCTTTTTCAGACGCGGTTGATCAAAAATATCCTCTGAACAGGAAGCCAGCCAAAAAGGCTCTGAAAGTAGGTTAAATAATGAAAAAGAAGAATATTATGTAGAATATAAAGGAGATGGCCCGCAATACACTTGTTGCGCTTTGATAAACTACCGAAAAATATTTTTATCAAATCTCTTGATTGTTCTACTTAATTTCAGAAAACTTTCCTCGTACCTGAATTTTCTTGTGAAAATTATCGTCGCTCCGAGATTCCGAATAATTTTCTAAACATTTAGGTATCTTCTCGAAAAGTTTTTGGCAATTCGACTAGAGTAAGAGATTTCGGTGAAAATGTTAAGTTGTTTTTTTGTGAAAAGTGCTTCAATTCCCAGTAAAAATCATTTTAATAAATTAATTTTAACTTTTTCTCTCATTTTTCTAAGCCACTGGTGCCTTTTCATATTTCGTTTTACTAACGTTTCCGAAAAAACATATAGCATTTAAATAAAAAAGAATGAATGGTTTTTAACCCTTTTGAGCCTAATGGAATGATACATCCCACGAACTTTTTTAAACATAGGTACAACTAGGTTATATCCCAGATTCATTAGTATTTTATCATATCCGCCCTACCTGATGGTCATATGTAAGATTTAACTTTGTACCGAATAAGAAATGTGTGAATATATATATATATATATATATATATATATATATATATATATATATATATATATATATATATATATATATATATATATATATATATATTTTCTACACTCACATGGATATTAGCTTATCTACGCACAGATTACAAAACGAAAAAGTATGCTATTGCCTTAAACTAAACGAATGTATTTCATATCCATTCTAGGTAGTGAAAACACTGCAAAAACATGAAATCCACACAATCATCGTTCATATTTTGATCAACCGACAGCTATTATTTTTAAAATTTTAAATAAGTGACAATTCTGTCAAACTAATTGTCAGTATATTTTTTTGTTATTGAGATTAAACATACATTAGAATGGATTGTTCTTGTGTAGAATCGATAAATAATTTTTTTTTTATTTAGTACATAATAATTATAAATAATTTGTGAGTGTGTGTGAGAGAGAGAGGGCATATAAATAATTTGTTTGTTTAAATAAAACTATATAAAGGCACTTTAATTACGAGTATTAAAGCAACGAAAATAAAGAGTAGGTGGTCCTGTAGTAAGGGTTCCTGGCATCCACACATTAGACTCCAGTTCGATTCTCGGATGGGGAAAAATTAAATGAACTTTTTTCGTTTTTTTTGTTTTTTTTTATTTAGAAATTTATTAAAAGTCATAAATTATTTTAAAATTAGTTATTTTGTATTGATACCTAACCTAAAATATTTTTTTTTATATTTGTACATTTTCGTTAGTGGGTCGTAGAAAAAAAATACTGTACAACTCGAGTAGATTGTTTACATCGAATTCAGACGATTGAGCACTCCGCTTACGTCGTCATGCTCAAATTTCGTCTTCGTACGATATGGCCATCATATCTACTCTTGTTGCATAAACTACTATTTTTACTTCAGCAAGTAATATGAAAAAAGAATATTGATTACCCATGGTTTTACGTACTAAAACCGCATCAGACAAGTGCTCAAAATGTCAAATCAAAATCACAGAATCTGTGTCAAAATGTTTAAAACTATTCGCGATTCAAATTAATTTTCGCGCGCCTGTCATTTGTCACCTATAAGTAGGATTTTTGTTTATTTACATGTGTTTGTTATGGGCGGATTATGTATTTGTATTTTTTTTAACTGTTTTTAGATAATATTCTCATTGTAATAGTGTTTTTGAGTTTCATTTAGTGTTAATTTAAGTTTAAGTCTCGTGCTTTCGTCATAAATATAATATTTATCATGTGTATGACTTAATTTGTTGGAAATATTCACCTATTGGTTGCTACAAGAACATCTAGAAATATGTATTTACTGAACCTAAGGCATGTTTTATTATGTGATTTAAAGGACATTCCAGGTACCAAACGTTTATAATTGATGAACTTATTTAAAAATCTTACTAGACTTATTCTTATATTATGAAGTGAATTATGTAATACTTTGTATACATGTAAATGGCAATAAAACCATCACAAATCAGATTACAGTTTGATTTTAAACAAAGTTTTGCAAAATTTCAATATTGTGAATTTGTAGATATCCATTTATCGTAAAAAACAAAATTTTACGACTTGCCCTTGGAAAATAATGAATACTTCTGTTTTGATTTTTACATTAACACCATATAGATTGCAATTTGCTGGGGACTCTTTCGCAGATTTCATTTTTAATATGAACACTATAAGAAATAAACAAATTTAAAGCTAAAAAGTAAGAAAAAAGTCGAATTGTAATTGATACAAATTAAAATGTAAACAATGAACACGAATGCCAATGTTGCCAAATGATGAATTGATTTTTAAAACAAAATTAATAAATGAACTGAAATTAAAAAAAAATAAATATAATAAATCAGTTTTATAAAAAAACCCTTAAATAAATATAGAGTATGATTACATATTACTACACACAAATTTTGATTCTTAAATAAAAGGTCTTATCCACTTCTTCAAGAGCTAAAATCTGACGTAGCGAAATTTTGCTACTTTTGGCAACACTGAACGATATCCTACTTACAGGGACCTTCTACAAATTTCCTCCAGAGGGCGTATCACTTAGTTTGAATCGCGAATATAAATTACCTACTCTACTGTATAACTACCTACTTAATAATAATACCCAAAAACAAACAGATAATTCTCGTAACGAACTACGATTATGTAGACATCTATACAGAAAAACCGGTGTGAAGTTAGCAGCCAATTTCAGCAGCTAAAATTTCCGGAAACGCACGACTGACCATTTCAGTGGCGTACAATGGTTACAAATAGAAAAACAAACTGCTAAACGACATATTTTTAAAAGGTTTAATGGTTAAACTAATATTAAATTTAATAGTTTTTATTGAATAAACTAAAAATAATGACTAGAAATAATATTTAGCCAGTATTTCTTATATATTCTATTCACAAGCCAAATTCATCTTTTACAATTAAATAGTAAACCTTTAGTAAGGTCTACTGTAAAAAGGAAATTTACTACCGAACAGGGGGAAACTGTCCTTATATTAATAAGCTAATTATTTTACGAAATAAGGAATTAAGGTGTCACTTTAAAATGTATTTTAGAATGTTTATAATACTAATACACACAGTAAAAATATGAAATTATAACGACCAGTCCATCAGGGGTAAACTGCCCTTATTTTAATAAAATTATTAAACTGCCCTTATTTTAATAAAGGACTGTTTACCACTTATATAAAATTATTAAAATAAGGGCAGTTTGCCCCTGATAGACGGATCGGTAGAATGTCATATTGTTACTGTGTGTATTAGTATTATACACATTTTAAAATACCTTTTAAAGTGATACCTTATTTCTTTGTTATAAAAATTAATTATTTTACTAAAATAAGGGCAGTTTACCTCTGATGGACAGGTTGGTAGAATTTCATATATTTACTGTAAGAAGTGTGTTTTAGTATTATAAACATTTTAAAATACATTTTTAAGTGATACCTTATTTCCTTCTTTTGATAATTAATTATTTTAATAAAAAAAAGCAGTTTATCCCTTATGAACGGCTCCGTAGAATTTCATATTTTTACTGTAAGTGTGCATTACTATTGTAAACATTTTAAAATACATTTTAAAGTGACACCTTATTTCGTAAAATAACTAGATTAATAATATAAGGGCAGTTTGCCCCTGTTCGGTAGTAAATTTCCTTTTCACAGTAAACGTTACTGCAGGTTTACTATTAACTTGTTAAAGATGAATTTGGCCTGTGAATGAAATATATAAGAAATACTGGCTAAATATTATTTCTAGTAATTATTTTTAGTTTATTCAATAAAAACTATTAAATTTAATATAAGTTTAACAATTAAACTTATTAAATGTATGTCATTTAGCTGTTTATTTTTCTTTTTCAAGTAACCATTGTACACCACTAAAATGGTCAGTCGTGCGTTTCCGGAAATTTTAGCTGTTGAAATTTGCTGCTAACTTCACACCGGTTATAGAAAATACGTAACTTTTATCAAAGTCGAAAATGTCTTGTAGAGCCTGCCATCTATTTTATATTGCGTATTGCAAACTAATAATTATTTTTCAAATACTCAACGTAAATGGTAATCCCCACGTGCATTATTATAAAATAACGGACAAAACGAGTTAAAATAAGAAACGTTGAAAAAACAAAATATATTTCAAAAAATGGCCACACTACTATAGTATGAATAATGCACATGGCCACATAATGATTTTCCGGCAAACGCATACTCACCGCTTTCCGTGTAAACTGCAACGAATGATCCTTTTTTATACATTTTGGGATAGCAAGCACAACGACGTAACACGCAATAAGAGATTTAAAAGAACACTAATTAGGTAGGTCGCATAAAAAAGACACCCGCTTCGGTGTGTTTACGAAGACCCCACAATGTGGGTATTGTTATTGTTCATA